GGTCTACAGTGACAGCAAATAGAACAAGGGTATGGAGTTGGGAGGGGTATAAAAAAGGGAGACGATACAAATAAGACCAGGAAGGAAAAGTATGTTGGGAAGCTGACTATGGAAGAAATTGTACAATTCTTTTTGATTAAGATTTAACTTTGGACATATAGTCCAAAGTTGGACATATATGGTCATATAATGATATGACTTACGTGTTAACCCCCGGTAATAACGAATTAAAAGAAAACAATTAAAAAAAACAAATCCAGAAAGGGAATTTGGGCTCACACTAAATCCTAGCTCCAACTTCAGAACAATTAGTTCTTACATCATGGCCTTCCTTGACACTCACCCTCAAGAAGGAAACAGCAGAAGACATGGGTACTATTGCAAAGCGTATGTAGATGGTGGCAAAGTATGTAGATGGTGCCCGGCTAGCCTGTAAAATAGTGTCTGGGGTCTTAAAGGTTTGTTTCCAAACAAACAGCCATCTAAGTGAGATGTCAACTAAGTCCACATGGAAGAAGCACACCATCAGTCACTGAAAGATGGTAAACCATATTCATCTGAAGTCCAAGGAGGGAGTAGTGTCAGAGGTTAAATTGTGAGAATCCAGTGTATAGAAGGCTATGGTTGATAGTGGGAGCTCAAGATTCTTTTGTGGAACTACATAGGAAATAAGTCTCCGGAGAACTCTATGTACAATTGAGGGATGGGAGGAAAAATGTTTCTAAACAGAGCATTGGAGCGATGAGTACAGAAGAGTAAAGGCATACGTCTGTCTTGAACAGTTAAAACTCTGTCAGTAGATTCCCCCTGTGATGCATGCTTGACCTGATCTGGTTTCCAAAATTTTCTGTCTTTTTGGTTTGTATTGTTTAGTGTGGTTTTGGTTTCTTCATCTTAGGGTGTATCTGAAAAGTATCATGTCAATGGAGGTCACCCTCTTGAAGTTGTGTTATATATTTTTCTGTTTTTCGATATATGAGACCCATGATTGATGAACCTAAAGAGACAGGAAGCAGAATAAGGGTTTGGAGGAAGGGGATTACTGTGGTGGAGGAGGAGTGAAAGTGAGACAATGTCAAGGAGTCCATGTAGAAAAAAAGAAGGTTTAGAAACTTATGTGGTAGCAACTGTACAGTTCTGTTTGAAGTGATTGAACTATGGAATGATATGGTACATATATTTTTAAAATAAATTTTTTAAAAGGAAAGATAAATAAAGTCAACTTACCAAGCAGATTTCAAGTGAAAGTTGGTCCTCTCTGACCCAGCTGGAAGCGCTGTCCAGAGCAGACAGAGGCTAGTGGTTAGAGACGTGATCATCTCATGTGACGCCCCTCCTCCTCACTGTCTGGGACCTCTCTGGGAGGAGCGATGTCTCACTCTGCCCAGTCAATACAAGGCTGAGGATCTTGCTGAGGCTTCCAAATATTGTGGACAAGTTAAGAATCAGATCTCAGCAAAAGGTGTCAAGAAGGACAAAGTTTATTTGCCAGCAGCCAGAGTGCCAGCTATTCCTAAGCCACCCCAGATGATTAAAGACAGGGGTTTTTATATTGTGGAATAAACAAGACATAGGGGCAGGTGGTGTTATGCTATATGGAGAAATAGGAACTTGTTCAATTTATTTTTTTTATGCTGCAGATGCTAGGTACCTCTCCAGTCTCTGTGCCTTGACACATGGCTTCATAAGAACTTCCTCAAAAAAATAAGAAAATGAAAAAAATAAAATAAAAAAAATAAGAAAATGGGGGCCTGGGGTGGTGGTGGGGAGTTTACAAGCACTCAGCAGTTGCAAAAATGGCAACAGGTCAGCAATTACAAAAAGTGAAAATGGTTACAAAGTGGTCACACTTGGACTAATACAAAATGGCTACACTTTGGCTAACTAATACAAAGTGGTTAAATTTAGGCTAATTAAAGCGGGCTAGCTACTACACCCTAACTCCTGGAACCTGTTACCTTCTTTGGAAAAGAAATCTCTGAATAAAGTAAATTAAGGGTCTCAAGATGAACATTGGCTGACTCACAATGTAGCATACCCAATTTCAAACTACTTGGCTATACAGTGACTTCTTCAAAAATGTCCCATATCACAAACAACCATGTAGAGGTGAACAAGGGGGGCTAGAGTGGAGACCTAAAGCCTATGATGACCCTAGTCCTACCTTACAAATCCAGCTAGACAGGAGCATGTACACTGGTACAGATAAGAGCTCTTGACACATGGAATCCAGGATAGATAAACCCTTCAGGGACAGTAATGGTAGTAGTGATACCATGCAGACCGGGGAAAGGTGGGGAGAGAAAGGGGAGCCGATAGCAATGATAGCAATGATCAACGTATAATCCAAATGATCGACGTATAATCCACCCAACCCTGACGGGGATGAACAACAGATACGTGGGTGAAGGGAGACAGGATGGTGTAAGATAATTTATAATTTATCAAGAGTTCATGAGAGTGGGAGGGAATAAAAAGAGGAGCTGATACCAGGCTCAAATAGAAAATGTTTTTTAAATGATGGTAACATATGTACAAATATGCTTGATACAATTGCTTTATGGATTGTTATAAGAGCTGTAAGAGCCCCCCCCCCAAATTATTTATATTAAAAAAAATTTCCCATATCTCAAGCAGGCAAGACTCAGGATAAGAAAAAAGCTCTTAAAAAGAAGGACCAAGTAGGAGGCCTAGGTCCACCTGACCTAAAAATCTACAACATAGCCACAGTAGTCAGAACAGCCTGGTACTGGTACGAGAGACACATAGACCAATGGATCAGAACAGAAAACCCAGACATTAATGCATCAGCCTACAGGCAAGTAATCTTTGACAAAGGACCTAGAAATAGCCAATGAGAAAAAGACAGCCTCTTCAACAAATGCTGTTGGACAAACTGGATTACCATATGCAGAAGAATGGAACAAGGCCCATATCTTTCCCCTTGCACAAAATGGCCTCAAGAAAGATTAAACATATAAAGGCAAAGCCCAAAGCTCTCAGGATCATCAAGGAGAAGGCTGGAACAAAATTAAGGGCCCTATTGCAGAAGCACACTGAGCAGAAGATAGAGTACTGGGACATGCTGAAATTATATCACTATGCACATCAAAAGACTTCATCGGGAAAGTGAACCACGAGCCCACAGATTTGGAAAAAATGATTCTGCAGGCCCATGGGATATGCACTACTCAGGTTTACTTTGGTGGCCATAATATGACAACTCATGGGCATGCAATAGATTCTAGGCTCCTACTTAACTCCAGCCCCAATCCAAGAACAGTTAGTTCTGATAACATGGTCCTGCTCAATACTCGCCTTCATGAAATGATCACTGAAGACAAAGGAGCTACATACAGCACAGTGTGGTGCTATAGCACATTGTGGTGAAGGGCCCAGCTATTCATCAGCACAGTGTCTGGAGTTTTAAAAGCTTATATTCAAACAAGCAGTCATCTGAGCAAGGAGTCAACAAAGTCCACATGGAAGAAGCACACCAGCTTGTGTGATACAACAACAACAACAACAAAATTCAAATATGATGAAGAGAAAACTATCAGAGGTAAAATTATGAACACCCAATTGTTAAAAGGCTATGGGTGACAGTGGGAGCCCAAAACCCATCTGCAGAGTAACTAGTTAGATTAAGCCGCTAGCAGACTCCACTAATCATAGGCAAAAGTCGCAAACAGCCTTTCTATCAGACAGAGATCATTGTAATCTTGATTATGCTGGATTGAACTTGATACTTGATCAGCTAACCTCCCTATCGACCCGACCTGAATTTGTTCTAGGTGCAAGTATCTCTTGTGTGTTTCATGACAAATTTCTTCCCTGGCTTTTTAAATATTAGGGCTGGTCTTTTCTTTCTTACTCATTATTTGTGTTTTTATCTTTATATTATTTTATCCTTACCACTTTATTGCGATTTTGTTTTTTATTGTTTCTGTTAGGTTTCCATTTGTGAAGCACAGAAGGAGTGGATACAGAGAGATAATAACTGATACAAGAGTTACAGGGAACATAGGAGGGGGGGTGGGAGATCAGGAGGGTGAGGGGATTTGGGGAGTAAATAATGGGAGTGTGGAGGGAGCATTAGAACTGATTGTGATTACATAACTCATTTAACCATGGGAGAAAAATTTCTAAAATTGATTGTGGTAATGACTGTACAATTCTTCTTGATATGACTGAATGATTGAACTACTGAATTGTATGATACGTGGATTAGGTGCCAATAAAAAAATGTAAACAAAAAAATCCCCATATCTCTAGATTGAGAGAATAATTCTAGGTGTGATGTTTATTATCCTTCATGTATACCTATATACTCGTGTATAAGCGGAGTTTTTAATGCAGTTTTTGTGGTAAAATTAGGTGCCTCAGCTGATAATTTGGGTTGGCTTATCCTCGAGTATGTACAGTAAATTTCACGTAACGACCTGTTTTAAGGTCAGTGGACTTAAATTTCCCCGATATGTCCAATGTGTTAGAATATACACAGTATATCTCTAACATTTGAGTCACAAATCAAGTGTAGCTTAACGGTTTGGTTTTTATTGAAGTATACTATTCATAGAGAGAATTATCCCTGGTGGTGCTCTGGTGTGTCAATCTACCAACCACAAAGTCCTCAGTTCAAACCCAGCAGCATCTCCAAGAGAGAAAGATGAGGCCACTCCCATAAAGATTTACAGCCTCAGAAACCCTATATCAGGTTGCTATAAGTTGGAATTGACTCAGTGGCAATGAATTGGGTTTTAGTTTTATATGTACAGAAAGGCATATATAGTATACTTTCAATAAAACTTCAGCTTAAAATTTACTATTAAATTTTAAGCACAGTTACATATCAAAAATTTTAAAAGTTCGCTCAGCTAACGATTCTATAGGAAGGAAAAAAATACTGTGTGTGTGTGTGTGTGTGTGTGTTTGTGTGTGTGCTTGTGCACGCACACGCACATGCTTACTAAATCCCTTTTGGCTGTAATCTTTTTCAGGATGTGGTGGATACACACCCTGGTCTAACATTCTTGAAAGATGCTCCAGAATTCCACTCCCGCTACATCACCACGGTAAGCAGAGTCCTCTGTCTCAATGTAATCCAGTCTCCAAAACTTATAAAAAAGTTTCAGCCCCTCCCCCCCCCACCCCCTGGCAATTAAAAACTTTTATACTATAACCCATAATCCAGGAGAAAGTGTAGGTATCTACTTTTGCAGCCTCCCCCACCCCAACCCCCAGGGCACACTACCGTCTACTTTGGGAAACCAGTGTTGTTGGGTGCCTTCTGACTCACAGGGACCCTATGGACAGCCTAACAAAACACCTCCTCAAATGGTACCATCCTCACAATTGTGCTTAGTTTGAGCCCACTGCTGTCAATCCATCGTATTGAGGTTCTTCCTGTTTCACTGCCTCTCCAGGTCCATAATTCTCCTGTCAGAGGCCTTCAGGTCATTCTACAGAATGTAATATGGGCTGTAATGAGTATTTTAAGTGGAAAGAAAGTACAGTAAAACTTAGCATATATGTATCTTCTACCATTTTTATATGTGCCTAGTGCTTAAGAGGTCTCTTGTATATAGCATTAAATTAATATACTCATTCTGTCTGATCTTACGGGTGTACCTTGTGCTATGCTGTGAATATTGATATCTAGTTGATATAGTGCATTTCCAAGTAAGATTAAGAATTTTCAACAGCTTTTCCCAGAAAAAGATGTTTAATGTGTGTCTAATGCTTAAATTTAAAAGTAGAAATGATCATGAGAATAGCTTTCATGTAACCAGAAAACAGATCATGTCTAGGAAAGTCCAAGATAGGAGAAAAATGTGGACCAAAACTCAAAATCATAAGAAGACCAAGCTTACTAGTCACATTGAGACTAATGGGACACCTAAGATTATATGGCCTTAGTCACCCATCAGGGCTGGAAATGAGCTCACTACCATGGCTCAGTTTGTACTCAAACAATAGGTAGATCTCCAAGGGGAACTATAGCAGTAGTGAGATTCACACATGTACCTTAGACAGTCAACCAGTTGAGATCATAAGGAGAGCATTTATCCAAGGCCACAATACAGCAGGATTAGGAGAAGAGGAGGAATGGAAACAGGAAACATAGGGAGAAAGTACGGTAAATGAGATGGCATTGTGAGGGTTGCAGTGAAATGAAACAGCATGTTTAAGAATGACAGGGAAAACTGATCTGCACTGTAAACCTTCACCCAATTCACAATACAAAGTTTGGTTTGGTTTTTTAAAGAAAACATAAGTAAGATCAAGTCATTCCTCTGTTCTTCAAACCTTCCTGTGGTTACCTCTCACTTAGAGCAGATGCACAGAGGCCCTGCCAGGACACTCTCACACACCCCTACATCACTGTAGCCACAGTCTGTTTTCTCGCTTTCCACTCTCCCTCCTGATGCGTCAGCCTCTGCCATGTGGCTTCCTCATTCTCTCTGGAACAGACCAGATTCACTGTGCCGGGTGCTTTGTTCTAACTCTTTCTTCTGCCTGGCACACTCTTCCTGCAGATTTCCATTGCTGTCTCCCTTGGTTTCTCCAAGTGCCTGCTCAGACAGACCCCTATGAGGGAGACCTTCCCTGGTCACCCTCTGCCTTCTCCATCTTTTTCTCCCCTCTGCATCCTCCCCTGTTACTCTAGTCCCTTTTCTTGCTTTATTTTTTGTTTGGGTGTTTGTTTATTTTTTAGCTCTTATCACCACTTGTGCTGATAAGAGGGGACTCTAAACAGGGACACTGTCTATATTTTTAATGCTTATATATCCTTGGTGCCTAGGATCGTGCCTGGCACATGTGGTAATATGCATACAGTCAGTATTTACCTAGTTATTAAGTTATTTATACTTCAATTCTGTATTAGCTCTGACTACAATCCCAAGGAGGACTATTGGGCTCTGATTGTTAACTACGTATAAACTCGGGGCATTGTTAACTGCATAATTTATACTCTTGAAACTTGGAAAGGGAAACTCATAAAGATCAGTCTCAGAATTAATGACTGCTACCTCCGAGAAAAAGGAAAAGTATTCCATTGAATGACCAGGAAGAATATTACTTAATCTCCATGGCATACAATATTAGAGAATAATTGATACATAGTATCCATGCTACAGTTATGCTGTCATTTTACAGTTGGAAGAAACCTACTGACACACAGTATGATTAACATATTAACTTACATATGGCACATACATGATAACGAAAAGCTGTGTACCTTCTATTTTCTGCTTATCGCTGGAACATTATACTATAGGAAACGACTTTTAGACTAGAGGGACAGAGCACCAGCTATTACAGCAAAGAATGGCCAAAAAACAACCAAATACACTGCCGACTCACAGCAACCGACCCCCAGGACAAGGTAGAACTGCCCCTCTGCATTTCCGAGACTAATTCTTTACCGAACTAGAAAACCCTGCCTTTCTCCCGAGGAGCTGCTGCTCACTTGGTAACTGCTAACCTTGCAGTTTGCAGCCCAACTTGTAACTAGTACACCCCCAGGGCCAACCAAACCAACTCACTGCCATCTACTTGATGCAGACTCATGGCCCCCATAGGACAGGGTGTTACTATCCCTGTGCATTTCTGAGACTATCGCTCTTTACGGGAGTAGAAAGCCTCTTCTTTCGCCCGGCAACAGCTCGTGGTTTAAAATTGCTGACCTTCCAGTTGGCAGCCCAACACATAACCACTATGCCACCAGGGCACTACTAATAAATGCCAGTTCACAGAGAAGAGCCAGCAGTCAGGAATATGCCATTTGATATTGAAGTATTCTCTTAATAGAACTAACGAAAATTTAAAATACCAGTGAATTGTAGCCCTTGACTACTCAGTTCTACATGCTGTGCAGAGAATTTGCAATGAATAAAAGACTGAAGTAACAATTTCCTTCATGAAAATTAACAAGTCTGGTCCCAAGAGCTTAAATATATCCCAAATGCCCTACCTTTCCACACTGCTTTACCATCCCATCCTTTCTGACATCAACCACCACCCTTTCCCCCTTAAAATACTCACGCAGCGACTCCTCAGACTGCACAGCATGAAGGAAATGGCTCACATCCTGTGGATGCTGGTTATGTCCCAAACCAAAGTTCAGACTCCATTTGGAGGAGTCGCCTTAATTCCATGGAAGAGGCGAACTAGAAGCAAGAGCTGAAGGACATCTCTGACTCTTGCTGGTAGTGAGCTCTCCCTCCTGCATCTCAGAAAGCTTACTTGTTGAGCCTGTTAGCAAGTACTCACAGGTGAATCCTCTCAGTCTCTTTCCCTCACATTCTTACCCAGACCATGCAGGAAAAGGTCATTTGGTGGGAGGTACAGAGGCTTTGGCCACATTAAATTATTCACTGCCCCTACAAACTGCTCATCCAAACTGGCATTTGCTGACTTTCGAGAAAAGAGGTGTTTGCATAGGTTTATTAAATAAGTGGTGGGATGTAAAATATCTCGTTATAACACCTTCTCAGGTGTAGTGTATTAATGATGTATTCAGTGTCTTGATTGGCCCGAGTCCATCCTTCCAGCTGAAATGCTAGCTAGGATTTGTATTGGTGAGGACAGGTGCTGACTGGGATTTCCTAAATAGACTAAGCTAAGGAAAAGACTGCTTCACACTAGGAGATTGGAGATTTCGTGGGCAGCAGAGGGATTGTGATTATTGACTGTATTGTTCTAAGTCCAAGTTCTGTTAAAGATCATAAATAAATGCTTTTCAGAACTAAACATAACCAAAGTATGGACCAGGAATCCAACCACCATGCTGCAAAGTGCAAGAGCCTTATTCCAGCATTGACATTGCTAAGTTATACTCAAGTCCTCTGCAGTGAGCAATCCTCATAACTCATGTATCTGTACTCACCCAATGGAAAGAAGCTACCTGAAAGAGTCCCCAAACTCGTTTCCATTCCTGGTGACCTGCAACTGTAAATTAGAGGTCTCTAATGTAATATAGCTAAAGAAGAAAGGAGAGTGACAGTTAATTCAACCCGCCTATCAAGTCGAGTAGAAATCCCTAGATTGCCAAATTCCGTTCCTTTCACCGTTCTTACTATTATTGATTTTGAAATTGGTTTAATATCTTTTTGATGTAATTTAAATTTAATGCGATTTCTTTTTACTTACCTAAAAGTGGTAGACCAAATTTAGCAAGAGAAAAACTACTGTTATTATGTACAGCCAGTAGCTACATGCTCTCACCACTAGATGGTGGCCCTACATCGAGAAACTAAATGCTGAATCCGGACCCTGAAACCCACAAATTCGCTGGTGAACTGAGACCACTGAAGGAGATTTAGGTTGTGGAAAACAGAATACACATGCTTTTTTTTTTTTCTTCCTTGGTAGGAGTATTAGAAAAGTAGATTAGAGAGGGCTAAAAATAGGAAATACCTAGAAGGCAAATTGTTTTCCAATTAATTACATCAAAAAGAACAAAAAAGGAAGACAAGAATAAAATAAGAAATACCCTCCCAGGGGGATGAACAACAGAAAAATGGGTGAAGGGTGACAGAGGACGATGTAAGATATTGTGTTAGCCAGGGTTCTCTAGAGAGATAAAACCAAATTTCTGATAATTTAATATATTTATTTATAAAGATAATTAGATATATAACAAGAAATGAACTGTTAAATTATATACAGACAGATATATAATACAAGAAATGAACAGTTAAATTAGAAAGCAGTACAAATGACTGAGTGCAACTCACTCCCGTGACAGAGTTGTGAGACACTAGCAGTCCTTCAAGTCTAGTCTGCTGCCAGATATTCTTCTATATATAGAGAGAGCTAGGCTACCTCAGCACAGCAGCCAATCACAAGGCAGGTCACCAACTGTCAGCCAGGTCACCAACTGCCAGTCCCCAGCTCCAGAGATGTCTTAAAGGGACCTCAACTTACAGCGACATGGTCCACAGACTAGGCGTCCCACAGGTAGTGTAGCCTGTAAATTGAGGCACAGAACAAGCAAGGCAGCCACACACTGGTCCGATGATCAAAGAGCGAAAGACAAGAAAGGCGAGGCTCACCAAGCCATTTATCT